TCATAAATAGAGATTTGTATAATTGACATTTAGATAAGAGGAATTTATCAGTATAATTGATAGTCGTATTCAATTTGTGTTATATAGCATTGTTTTGCCTTATGTCATTCAGCGCTCTCTACCAACATTTCCCGCCGTTTATGATCTCTCTCTTTTACATGTAACAAAGGATACGGCTACAAATGAATGCTCTCCATCTTTGTTTAGTCTTTTTTGGCTTTGTGCCATAATATCGTCAAACCGTGACATTATCGATTGTATATCCATCATGTACTGATCACGTCAATGAGGGATATCCATCGATCTTATATGTCTAAGGACTATTTCAGTCCCGCTCACCATATATTATATGTGTATGTTCATGTTGGTCAGTTGGAAATGGTATCGAGGTGTGTTCCTCCCGAGGGTAACTATAGGTGGTGCGGCCTCAAATTGGTATTATCATCGCGCTTACCCTTTCCTTGCAACTATCGACCGACGATAATCGCTAAGATTTTATCGATCGCCTACAGTGCTAATTCCCAGCTAATAAACACTTCGATTCTGATTATCGCGATACAATTATCAGCTCTTCCTACACCACAAAAACTTTCGCGACAGATTTATGTGACAAACAATTCGAGCATTCGAGCAGCTCATAGGAGAATATATGTGGGTAAGAACTTGAAATTTGATGAATACAACAAATAATTCGTATATCTCTCTCAATTGAGAAATCATATGAAAATGAATGGAGACGAGAGATCTTTCAAGTGCAGTGAGTGCTGCTGGAAATTCAAATTCAAATAGTTTTGTCATCTGCGAACACGCAGTTGACGCACAAAGGCAAATAACTTCAAATGTGATAAATTTAAATTTGCTAGCAATCTTAGAAGACACAAATTGATGCATTGGAGGCGCAACAACCATTAAAATATGACAAATGTGGTGTGAAATTCATTTGAAATTATGATTTGAAAGAATACAGTAAGAGGCACAAAAATGTTCATGAAATATTAATTTTACAGTGAGCTTCTTAATTATGCCATTATCCAGAAGATTGTTTTATCACAGCTTTATTGATACAATGAATAATTTCAACCGAAGATTGTGAAATTATTATATTTATTGCCTGTCGATTACTGCATTTTCCACTTGCAATTTTTTTTGTTAAAAATTAATTTTCAATCAGAAACACATTTATCTCTTTTTTCATTTCGAGCATTTGTATAAATTTTGTATAAAATCTTTTTTATACAAAAATCTTTGAGAATTTAAATGAAAATTGTGTAACAAAAAAAAATTTGTATAAAATTTTTACTTCCACTACAAAAAACTATGCAAAAAGTATTATTTGTCTTTCTCTACTATTCTTGAATTTTCCCAAACAATTGTAGATGTGATTTAATTTGTCGAATCAAAAACTTTTTATAACGAATATAATTCACACAGGTTAAACATTCAATAATATGACAAGGAATGTAAAGTAATATTAGAGCAGAAAGGTTTTTTTTGGAGAGAAAAATTTAGTGAATAAAAAAGCTGACCCATCATTTAACACTTTTATAAATGTTTCATTTATTAATTGATTTATAAAATATCGTTACACTGTATTGAAATAAAAAGGATGATACATATACAAATTCCTGAATGGAAAAGACTAAGCCTAATTGTACAAATAAAAATGAATTGAATTGAATATTGGCTATTATTCAGCAAAAAGAAGTTTTAAAATAATTATTTTAAAATTTACAAAACTTTCAATTAGCATCACAAACAAATTTCACTTCGAAATGGTGACTGCATCCAATCAACATGTCATATAAAACAATAAGAAAATCAAAATTTTGAACAAATTCGATGTCCAACAAATTCTTGTTCATTTTGGAGAAAGAAATCCGAAATTTTAATATTTAGTAAAATGGAGAATAAACTCTAATCATGGATTTTTTAATATTTTCTCATTTAAAAGTTGGAAATTCGAAGAAGTTATAGGAAATCTTTATTGCTGCTAAGTGCCAGAAGTATCGCTGTTTAAAAAACTTTTTTTTCTTGTTTTCACTCATAAAAATTTTTAAAGTTGAATTACTTCTGCAACTTATCAAATTTATTCATCGACTGTTTCCATCGTTTACCGCAATTGTCGTCACCTAAAGATATTACAACTATTCGATTCTATTCCTGAGAATTATACAAATTCAAAGGTCGCATATGCAAATAATCAACCAGTCAAAGCAATAAGCATTGATCAAAACTAAAATTTTATATTAGCACTGAAGCGGTGCTGTGTGGCGATAGCAGGAGAAAAGAAAGTAGCCAATAATAACTAATCGTGAAATTCGAAATAATTTGCTGAATATTGGAAAAATTGTGAAAAGTAAAAAAAGTGACAAAATTATGGTACAAAAATATATGTGTAAATGAAATGAGCACATAAAATTAGCTGCAAGTATAAACTTGCTGTTATTGAAAAACATGCCTTAGCATCAAGGAATTAAAATCTTATCTTTGAATCTTTGAAAAGAAAAGTATTTTTGAATAGAAATATGCACATGAGTAAATTCCGAAAAATTTCTATAATGATCATTATTGATCTTTTTTTGGGAAATCTTGTTTACTTCTTTTCTCTTTTTCAGGTATTTAAGCGTTTAACTTTAAGTCAAACTGATCAGAAGATCAAAATCAATCAGTTAAATACAAAAAAAGATTAAAATTTGAAAATTTTCGTCATTTATAAACTGAGCTTGAGTACAATTAAATCAAAATTTTTCTCTCATGCAGAGAAACAAAACCTTGATTTAATTTGAAGGAATAGTTAAAAAAAAAAAAACAGAATTTATAGACCAGTTAACAACGCATAAAATAAATTTGAATCCTTACTGTCTATCAGAGAGATCATCGATTAACGATTCTGTCCTCAGGATGAATTAAAGCAATTTAATGATTAATTGGCTTCTTTAAACATTTTCTTTAACCCTTCCTCTTTGATTTCTGCAAATTTTCAAATTTCAAATATCCATTGCACTTAAATTCTTCCTTTTAAATCACCAAAATTCAATGAAATTTCAAAGTGTTTTGAGGAAACTTCACTTATGAATGTTCAATTTGCATTCTCTTCATGAGGCATGCAACAGAAGGAATCAATAACGAAACGAAAATCAAATAATAGCAAGTGAAAAATTAAAACAATCAAAAATAATTGTAGAAAATCAGAATAAATTGGATTTAATTAAAAAATTAAATTAATTAAAAAATGACTGAGAAATGTTATAAATGTAATAAATGTAAAAAGCGTGAATAATAATTGGCTGTCTAAGAATGAGGCTGAATTGCACGAGCAGGTGCATGCGTGTTCACGGCAGTCATTTGTGAACCGACCATTACCATCGATGGTTGACCATTTCCTCCTTCCATCATATGACCATTCCCATAACCCATCCTGCAAAATCTTCAATATCCGTCAAACTGTCACGTATTTTCACGTCATACATTGATTGATGATTACATTTGATAATTAGCATAACTTTCTGTTATATTTTTACTGTGCTTCAAATATCTTGAGTTCTTTTTTCCTTTTTTTATGAACGGATGCATGTAAAAATATAAAACGAATAATAATACTAAAAAGTTATGCAATCATTATTTGCCATATATTTTTAGGTCAACAATCGACGAAATACCTTTGACCTTAATAAGTGATTTAGTTTAATCGTATTTTATCTCATATTTTCTGATAAATAGTTCCAAGCTCAATGCAAATTTATTTGAAAAATATTGATTTTGATTAAAACTCACAAATTCACTGGCGACGTACCATTCTGCCACATTAATCGATTGTTATCAGCCATTGCTATATTTTCTTCTTTCAACTTTAATTTACCATTCGTTCGTCTGTTATTCGTCTGTAACAGTAACAAATCATTTCATTAATTCAAGTACGAATTAAATTTTAACAATGTAATTCACAGTTAATTTTAATTAAAACATATAAATAGAAAACAGACGAGACAATCATGCAACAACGACAATGCATTAACGATGAGTTTTCTGCTCTAAAAATTTTTACAAATATTTAAAAGTTAATGTATCTCAAAAACACACCGACCACTTAATTGATTTACTAGTAATTAATTGTTAAAATGAGTATTAAATATAAATTAGTTTTGTTTTGTTTATTTTTTACTACATGCATAAACAACAACAGATCGAATATTTTGTGCTTACGAAAAAGAAATCAGTTTTACGACCCTGAAATATCATAATAAATTTGTTCATATCAAGTAATATTTCCTATTGTAAAAAATTTTTCAAGCAAATTGATATATTAAATATTTAAATTTAAAGAAATTTGGTCTTATGAATATTAAATCAAAAGGAGAGAAAGAAGAAAGCATCATTTTCTTACAATTTTACATCTTTGACATATTCATAATAAATAAAAATTTGCAGCAAAAGCTTTTTTTTCATTTTAATATAACGAAAGAATGAAATTATGCCAGTGATAAATTTGTATTTTTTTTCTACAAAACAGAATTTTAAAGAGACGGAAAATATGAAAATATCTTAATCAACCGAATTAAAATTATCACTGAAAATAACCATTTAAATACGAAAAAAAGAACTCACAGCGATAACAGTAAATGCTATCAATAGTATTGTTAATATACCAATAGCTATAGCACCTCCAACAATATATGATGATGTACTACCTGATGTGTAACCTTCATGTATCCTTTCAACATAATTCTTCGATACAAATCCTAAACCAATTTCATCTTCCATATATTAGTAATATCAATAATTGATTAATGTATTATTAATAATTGCCAATAATTAATAATAATAATAATCAATTATTCTAGCATTTCTGTTTAATTTATCGATTTATTGCAGCATACTAGATTATTGATAATAAAAATGTCTAATTTTTAAACTTCAATATTATCTAAAATTTTGAAATTTTTTTTGAAAATTAAAAATTGCACCATTAAGTAGGATGGATCGCGGATCCACATCATTACCACCAAGCTGTGAATTTTTAGCAGTAATTTGCTGTTCAAATTCGGTAGCCAATTGTTCCAAATTATCAGGTTTCACTGATGTGTACACCATACCTTCCACTATCACACTGCCTTTCAGAAAGCTCACCAAATGCACTCCATTATATATGTGCCCAAATATTGAACCAAATATTTCTTCTAACTGTAAAGAACAGATTTAACAAAATAATAGTAAGCATTTAAAAGTTTTCTAAAATTACAGAGTTTTTTAAAGTGGAACTGTGATCACTTTGAAATTACTCTGTGGAAATTATTCAGGCACAAATGTGCAGCTATGAATATCGCATTGATTAAATTGAATTGAGATTTTATCAGCAAAAAAAAAAGAAAATGAATTTTTCACCTTATTATCAAACTTATTTTATACGTTTTCGATAATTACTAAATCTTTCAGAATTCATCGAGGAAAAAGATGCCTATCATCTTCGCATAATTGTAAGCCTATTTAAATATGTTATCATAAATTTACATCTGGCATAAGTTGATCTCGCAATTTTTTGTATTTCCCACTATTTGAATCACCGAATTCCGGAATATAATCGATACTGGTAATACGAAATGAGAATGGTGTCTTATAACTTCCTTCTTTTGCTAAAAATGATAAAATCATTTTGAAATTATTTAAAAAGAAAAATAGAAAAAAAAAGATGTAATTAAGGAAAGATAAGAAAACGAGAAAAACTTTTTAATTCTTTAATGCAAGAAAAATTTGCTTTCTGATATATATTTGTATAGAATAAATGAAAAATTTTTCTCTTTGCTATATCTCCAATGATCTCTCTCATTCTCCCTCTGTCTCCCTCTTACAATTTGAAGAGAGGGACAGAGGAAGGGAGAAACAGAGGAATGAAGGAAAAAGAAATAAAGGTGAAATAAGTGATGAAAGAATAAATTAAAGCATACCATCGTGAGAATTGGTAATTTGTGCATGATCAATGTGTAACATATTATTTAAATCATTCTTACTTCCTTTGAAATCTTAAAAATTAAAAATTTAACATTCTGTTCTTCATATGATTAAGCAGTTAAATATTTAGATTCATAATTCGAAACCATGCGCTAATTTAAATGAATTCTTCCTTAATTACCTTCAGGTATAGTTGTAAATTCCGGGTCAGATTTTACTTTAAAATCAATCTCTGATTCAAAATTTCCACTCGATACTTCACTTTCAGGGAATAATATAGGTTTAGATATTAGTTCAGGTTGTGATGTTGGTTCTGATTCTAACTTTCCTTCACCACTGATAATAGGCCTGAACGTAGAAGCTGCTTCTTCTAAAAATTTATGTAAAATTCTACTATTTAAAATATATTTTTTTTGCTTTTCTATAAATTGTTCAATAAAATTACATCAAAAATTTACAAAAACAATGGAACAAAACCTGTATGATAAAAGCTTTCATCAATCACTGAGATATCCTTTACCTCCCCGTCTTCTTCGAATGAATTCTTCGCTGTTTGCGATTTCTCGCCCGATGTATGTTCACCTGTAGAATTGAAATTTTTACGCTTAAACAATCCAACTTTGCACACCAATTTCTCTACCGATTATAGCGATAATCTACCTGTTTCTTCATCAATTATCGTAATAATTTATCTGTTTGTCTATCAATTATCGCGATAATCTGCCTATTTTTTTTTAAGTTGTCGCAATAATCTACCTATTTCTCTATTGGTCCATTATCGCCCTAACTTACTGCAAAAAAAGGAAAGCTATTATAATTTGAATAGAAAGCTAAGAAAAACTTTTTATATCATCCGTATATTATTTGATGATTCTCTGAAAAGGATTAAAAATTGAAATTTTTTTCTGGAATGTATTAAAAACAAAATATTAAAACTACTGATAATGAGTTTGGCCAAATAATTTTGTGATAGTTAACTTCCAAATACAATAACAAACGAGTAGTTCATAACGAATTTTCAATGTATTATCTATGAAAAAATACCTTGATTTCCCGAATGGAGACTTTTAATTTTTTTAATTTTTAAAATAGGAGATAGTAGCTTGCAAAAAATGTTGGAAAAAAGATTTACCGTTGCGATGCTCGTTAAACTCATTAGAATTTTTAGTTAAATCAATTGGTATATCCGTTCGCATCTGCAAGAATTCGTTCATTTTTTCATTTCATTCTAGTAATCTAATCTTGCTTGAACTTCTTTGACCTAATTACATCTTAATGAATAATTTTAAAGAAATAAATATTTTATACAATAGTTTAATTTTCTATCTACCATACTTACAAATAATTTCATATTGTTCATTAATCTCTCATTCGTCAAAATTTTCATTTTTATTTCCTTCAAAAAATACTTTTTATTGTTTTTTTGAAGCACAATGAGAACGAAAGAATTGAGATTCTTTCTCTGTTCAATTCACTTTTAAATTTTAAACAGAAACAAAAAAGTGTGAAGAGAATGATTCAGATTTAGATAAAAAATATCTTTTGTAATTTGCAACAAGAGAGAAAGTATCAAATGATACTTTCAATAATTGACAAAAAAAAGACAAAATGACACACCTGAGATTCAATATTTAATGATGAATTGTGTGTTACAGCATTGATTTCCTAAAAATAAAAAATAGCAAACAAGCGATTTTGTATTTTTATTAGTACAATACATTTTTCATCCTTTCTCTCTAAAACTTTTGCATTCCATTTCATTTGTGCATTTTAAATCATTAACTTACGCGTAAAATTCGTAATATAAATGAATGAAATTATGGATGGGTTATACAAAGCTTAAAAGATAAGCTGAGAGCTCTAAAACGATTGATAATTCAAATTTTTGTGAAAAATTATATTTTACTATATCTTAAAACTATTTTTAAAAATTTTCAACTATAATTCGAATAAATGCTATTGCAAAATCACCTTATTATGCCTAAAAACTCGAAATTTCTTAACTTCTTCCAATTGAAATTTTTTTTGATCAGTTAATTAAAATTTAACTTGTAAATATCGTAAAATTTTCACCATTCATTATCAAATTACAAGCAAATAATATTACCGTTAGCTGGGTTTCTTCCGTCGCTTCAGGTCCCAATCTTTCAATACGTGAAAAGCCCGGCACGCCAAAGTTCTCCTCCATTGTCTAAAATTTATGGATGTATTTCCAATCTTTATATTAAATAGTAATATGAAATTTGAAATAACCTAAATTATAAATGGCTTGTTATAGGATTCGTCAATTTTTTACTTCATCATGATTATCATATGAATTTTAAAGATCAAAACTGTAAAGATTTGATTTATTTGGCCGATAGATCTTGAAAAAATGAAAAAAAAAATTCTAAAAAATCTTCCAATCTATGTATTTGTATTTGTATTGCTCAATTTGTGAAACAAAATAAGATTTTTGTAATTATGAACAAATAGACAATCAAGAATTATATAATTTAATTTAAAGTTATAAGCGAAAATTTCTCCGAATGTTTTGACATTTAGTAGAAGAAAAAATTTGAAAAAAAGGCATTTAAAATTACATACAAATATATTATATATATGCAAATGTATCAGCCTTTTATTTCAAAAATTTCGAAGTCTAACGATTGATCAGAAAATAAAGAACGATAGATTCTAAAGAGAAAAAAATGTTAGCGAAATGATTATAACCTATGACCTAAAAAACATTTTAGCCAGCAATTATTTCGACATTTTTTTCATGCGCTTATTATCATATATTCAAAATTACTGAAATGGTATTCTTTTTATGAGCAACATGCTTAAACTCAGTCCAGTATTGAACATGATTATGTAAATAATTTTTGATAAAAATTCACGACCTTTATCATTAATCTATCTTATTCAAAGTATTTGCAATTTAAACATACTGATGATTACTGGTTTATTCGTTTACTTAAATCAATTATCAATTAAAGAAAATGCATTTCTGAAATAAACTTACTTCAGTTGGAGTAATGAATTCGGCAATCGATTGTGTACCACTAAAATCCGATTTTATGATGTCATCTTGGATGAATAATGTTTTGTCTCCAACAAATAAACTCTCATCTTCATGGCTACTATGTTCAGTCTCATCATCCTCCTCATGCTGATTCATATCTGTACTGAATTCATTTGTTGTTGTTGTTGTTGTTATTGTTATTGTTGTTTGAGGTAACTAAAAATAAACATTTCACCAAATTATTTATTTTCATCAATACTTTAAACATACTAACATTAATATAGTCTCGTAAGATTATTTAAAAAAAAAATTCTAAATTTAATTTATATGTTTAATTTGACATTTTTATCATTACACTATAAAAAATTATCCAATTAAATTTTTACTTCAGTTGAAATAGTAGGAATTGTTGGTGTTTCCCATTGATGTTTTATTTCAGGCGATACAGTTGCTAATGATTCTGTTACAAATGCATCATCAGATGATGGTTCAGAAGATGATGAATGCATGAATGATTCTGATGAAACTGTTGATGATACCATTTCAACCGGTACTGATTCAGTTACTGCAACAGACATTTTAAAATGCAATTTCATTCTTATCAAAATTTTTATTGAACTCCAATTTCTTTATCATCGCTATCATCATCATTATTATTAAATCGAATAGCAAGCTACTTTCGAGCAATTCGATAAAGTAGCTTGCTAAAGGGAATCGAAGATGTAATTCAGCAATCAATTCTTACTTGTAAAATGATATTGGAAGAAAATAAAATGGTACCTGGAGATTTTCCAGATTCCCGCGACATATCAGCAGCAGTAATTCCAACGGTAGCAATTTCTGTGGATGTTATTGTTTGTTCAGTGTTATCTGCATTGAACGTTTCTGATGTCATCGTATGCAACACAGGTATTCCTAAGAAAGTGGAAAATCTTCTGATAACTTCTGATATATAGAATAAAGAAAAGATAATCACTAAAAAAAGACAGCCTTATTTCACTAGAATGAATTGACTTAAGAAACTTCACATACAACGAAATTATTTAACAATCAATCAATAATTTATATTATCACAAAAATACTGATATGACATCTGAATGGAAGAAAAAATTTATTTGTAGTCTACTCTACTAATGTTATAACGTTAGATGCGGTGATAATATTTGACGTTGTTTCTATAATTAATACTGAAAGAGTTAATTATCACTGATAAAGAAACAGATAAATCTTCGGAGATACTGTAAGTTGAAATAAATAGCAAAAGTTTTCATTGAAAATTAATCATAAAGTTAAATTGTTAACCCTATTCCAGAAAAGTCAATTTTTGGAATTTCCCACTTCTCATATCGAACTTCTATGGAGAATGATTCTATGGATTTTCTAGTATCATTCTTTGTCACTTATCACAACTCTATATCTGTGGTTATTTTTGCAAGGAATTTTCCAACAATAAAAATATATCAAATGTAGCTGTTGTACGGGAAGTAATGCTCTTACTTTGCTTTTTAGGTACAGTAACTTCAATTTCTTGAGATATCGTCTGAATTTCTAATGCCGTCGTCGTTCCATTTGTTATTTTCCTAATTATCATTTTGGGTTCGGATTTTAATGACGACGAAGTTGCATTGAATGTTTTGTTCATCGGTACAGTATCGGTATTAAAATCTCTATCCAACGCAATTGATTGATTCACTTTCATCGTTGCTTCATTCGATGCACTATCAGAAGTATTATTTAGAAAACTTGAAGCAGTTAGCAAATTCATTTTCGAATTCGAATTATTCTGATTCATATGAATGATGTTTTGCTGTTGTGAAATTGATGAAGTTGAAATTGTTGATTGGCCAGTAATTGTTGTTCCAAATGGATCTTCTGCTCTAACCTGAAAATTTTTCAATAAAAGTGTTAAAATGCCAAAATTTAAAAAAAGGAAAATTTTTCAGTCTGAAAAAAAATTCAAATAATTGGAATAAACTTTTATCCTTTAAAATGTTTTGCAAATTATACTACAATAGCATAAAAATTATTACAGTGTATTAATAACTTTTATGTTATTGCTATTAACAGTTATTACGTTTTTTCTTTCAGATTGAAGTTTTCCTTTTTTTAAATTTTAGCACTTCAACACTTTTTTTTATTAGACTTATATTAAAAGAAAAATAAAACACTTTTAGCATTTAAATAAACTCGTTGATTTCATTCTATTTTTTCTTTTTCAGTAAATTATCCAACTTGTTAGACATGACAACTATGACATCACTTAATTTTTCATTTATTTATTATTTAATTTAAAGTTTTGCTTGCCTAATGTTTAATGAATATTGCAGTAGTTTTTCGAAAAAATGATTGGTATTTTTATTTTAATCCGAAACAATAAATATTTTGCGTGCATTTAGGAATTTTTCAACAACAACAAAAAGACAAAACAAAATGAAAGATATCGCGTAAGAATTATTTCCTGAAACTGGAATAATTATTTTTGAAAATAGCAAAAAAGCATTAAACAATCAGTTTTTATCAATTGTTTGATCGGAAACGATAAAAGAGCAATTACAGCCAGGCGCTTCTTATTAATCACAATAAAACAAAGAAACAGGCTTCGAAAAATTCAATAATTAAAAAAAATGATACTCTGTTCATCTATTTATTTCATTTGTTGATTAATTGAAAAGTTAAGATAGTGACATTTTTAAAAATCAATTCATTGTTAATAACATTATGTCAAGCAGATCTTTTATTTAAAAACTATATTGGAAAAAATAAAGATGAGTATGAATTTGAAATTTAAACTAAAAATTTGGAAGAATAAGAATCATAAATTCGATGAAAAGCAATAATTATTAATTATCATTAGAAATATAAAGTTATTCAAATATTCAGAATTAAAAGATGACCAGAAGAAAGATATTAAAATGTTAAATTCGCAATTAATACCTCGGGAGGTAATTCATCTTCATTTTCGATATATTCTGACAGTTTAGTGATAATATCAGTTCCATTAATTGTTGACGGAGTTGATTTTGATATTTTTGTTGAGTCGGAAATCGATGTCTCATTTGTCTCATCATTATTCCTCCTCCTACAAAGATATTAATTAATGGAAAATATAAGTGAAATGAAGGTAACAAATCATAAAATCAGCTCAAATTGAATTTTTTTCTTCAATCTGAAAAAGAAAGACTTTAATTTTCCAAAGTCTAAGGATATAAAATAAAACATAATTAAAAAATAAAAGTCCAGAATTTGATATTTCTAACAATTTCATTTTTTTCCAACTTTATATTTTGTTTTTTTTTTAATTTTTTTATCTTCTACGTTTTTGTTGTATTTTTGAATAGATAAAGCTAATATGGTTGTTTTAGTGAGGATTAAAAAAAATGAACTTTGAAAATTAATTTTTTTCTGAGGGAGCATGAATGAGCAATCGTTGGTGGAATTGCTAATTATGAATAATAATTAATATAATATATATAAAATGATGAGTTAAATTTTCCACACTGGTTTTTTAAGGAAATGACAGAAGAGAAAAATGGACTGTTAAGAGAGTAATCATAAATTTTTTAATGTATAGCAAAGATTGCAAATTTCAAAAATGTTGCAAAATTTTTAACAATTTAGTTTACGTACACTTTGTTATAGAACTTTTTTGAAGTTTTAAAATAAAAATCTGGTGGATTTCTTTTAGCATTGAATTATTTAGTTTTGATTTCAAATTTCACACATTTATATGCTGTTAGCTTTTTCTAACTTTCGACCTTAACAGCGCTATTAAATGTTCAAAAAAGTGGATAAGTCCCATTTCACTACTCATTTATTGCTTACAGTTTTTTTCTGACCTTTTTCATGGGGTCATAAATACATTCCAAGCATCGATGAAAGTTTTTAGAGAGTAGAATGGCTGTTATAGATTAAATCAATGTTGTCTGCCTCAAAAGTTCACCATTAATCTTCCCTTTCTGCATTCGAGGTAGAATTAAAAGATAAATTTAAAGGGTGACAAAAAATTCTTAGTCTGCTCAAGAAAGTTACATATTTTAAAATTTTTAAAGATTTTAAAATAACTTTCTATGAATTTCGAAGGCCCACATTCAGGTAAACAAAGCTTCAAAAGCTATATTTTATATGGAAAACTGTAAATCTCCGTGAATTTTTATTTTAAATTACAAATATGTTATAAAAATATTTGTTACATTCTTAGTTCCTTTTAATAATATTATTTTACACCAATCTTATCACATAATCCATTACCATATCTTCGATAATCACAAAAAAAGGCTAAGTTCTTATCATAAAAAAACAAGATTTTTATTTGAAGAGTTATAAGCTAATTGATTAGATTGATTGTCAGCGACTGTAGAACTTACAAAAATATTTTTGAAAAAAAAAACTTCGAAAAAAAAAATAATGATTGGGGAAAAGTTTGGCATATTTGTACTGTTTACTGAATTTTTTTAGCATTGAATGCTTAGATAAGTTTTCATTTTTTGCATACTGTTTAGTGATGATATTTTCTCAGTAAAACAATCTCCAAGTAATCTCGGACTTCTTAATAGTTTTAAAGGTGATCATTGATTTGATGACAAATTGAAGAGGAAATGTTTTCATCTTCCAATATCATTGGCATATATAACAGAGTTAATGTGAAGGTTAAGAGATTAACACAGAAGAAGTGATGAAATAGTGGAAGATTAGGATCGCATAATGTATGTATGAATCAAATTTAAATTGACCTATTGATCGGTATAAGTAGCAGAAGGAGATTTTGTTAGTATTAAAGAACTTTAAAGCTATTGGAAACATCATTGAAGAATGGACAAAGGCATTTGGATGTTTTAGAAGAAATTGTTAAAGAATGATTAAGCTGTAAATATGCTGAATGAGAGGTCAATGAATACAGCGAAACTAAACTGTCAAATTTTAGAATTTCGAGGATCTCATAAAAGTTTGCAAAAAATAAATTTGGAAAATGTTGAACTTACTCATTTTGTGTTGCATTCTGATAGTTGAAATGATCGAATTGCGCTTCGGTAGTTGTATTGTGATCAATTTCAGTAATGAACGGTAATGACGTTGTTGATGAAGGTTGCTGTGTGGAAATTTCAAAGTTTGAAGTGGCTAACTCTCGAGCTTCCTTAATTTCAGGAAGTGGAAATCCTCTTTCTCGTGGTGCAATTGTCTCTACTAATTTTTGAATCGGTTCAAAGGCTAATGGAGTGGTTTCGGCTTCTGAATCAATTATTTGCTGTACAGTTTGTGATGATGGCGATGATGAAATCGCTTCCATCGTATTATTTTCGGATTCAACATTTTGAGCAATGACTGCAATGTTGGAAAGAAAAAATTCTCGGAGCTCTTTTTGAGTTCTAATCTATACTTCAAATAATTTTGTAAGAAACTTTTGCAATATTTTAAAATTGCAATTGCTCAATATACTATTAATTTAAGAGAAAGTAATGTGGAAAATTAAAAGCATCACAAATTTAATCAAAAATTGCAAATGTAAAAAAGAATAAGCTTACCTAAAAGAAGAGAAACTAATAAATGAATTAAAATTTCACTTCGCATCCTTCCCCAATCTTTTTTTTTTTTCTTCTTTCTATCCGCTCTTCTCACCTATCTCACACTTTAAGATTGCTGTAAAATTTTTTGAGTGTTGAAGGGTCCTGCAAATATGAAATTAAAATGACATCGTTAAAGTGACAAAAAAATTCAACTAGCGTTTTTCAAATCGGTTTGTTTGTTAGATATTTGAAATATATTTTATTTCACTGAGCAATAAGTTATTTTAAAATTCTATTAGTATGAAAATGTAAAAATTTTTGTAAAAAAACTTTTTTTTGAAAATTTAATTCGAAAAATACTATCATTTTAGCATTGAATAAATTTCATGTGCAGAATTATGAAAGTATAAATTCTCTTTTAAACTTTTCATTATTTAACAGATGAGAAATAGAAATGGAAAAGTCTCAAA